ATCTGCCCCTCCCACTCAGCATATTGATGGAAAAGCCCTCAGCAGAATGAACTCGAATGCCCCCCTTGCCCCCAGAATCTGCACCCTCCGTGGCCCGACTGGCAGCTGGGCCAGACCCCTCCCCCGTGGGTTAACCCCCAAACCTACACAACCCTCCCCCCCAGAACACCTTAAAAATCTATCTAAAAATTTCCCCAGAAAACCCCTCAATCCCCTTTTTGCAACATACCACCTCTCGGAGTGCCAAAGCCTGTCATAAAGGTAGGCCCTCGATAGAGTGGAGGGCCACACCTGCGAGGGGGGAATCTCACAGAATAAGAAGCTCCGCTGACGAATACATCTAAATAATCGGGGGAAGCCCATGGCCAGGAGGTTAATCGAGTTGGTCCAAATTCCGGAAAAGGGATATCCAGTCAGGTCCAAGTCAATAAACTCCACTGCTCTCTCACAGCAGTGGATGGAGTCTTAAGCCATTTCGGGGCTAGATGTCGACACCAGCACCCTCTCATGAAAGCTGGGAAGGGCCAAGAACCACAGTCATCGTCCAACTCCATACCAGACTTGAAATCCAGGGTATATCACTCTACAATTGGGAAGCATTGATGACAACCACCAATCTACAGGACCACGGGCCAGGAAGAGACTCCGGTGGCTGCACCTTAAGCGAATCAGGAGGCCATAAAAAAGTCCATGGGAGGCAGATGTCACATTGTCCAGAGGCCACCTCCAGATGATAAATAGCCTCACAGAGGCTAATAGACCACACGAGGCACAGAAGACCTGGCCAGAGATCTTTCACGGCCAATGGGGTCAACAATGCTTCTAACTCACCCCCATCCACATGAGGGAGGGGGGAAAGCCTCTGGAACGACCAGGGGTGGGCCCTCTCCAAGTGGGTCACCCCCCCCCATGGCTGCAACAGGCAGTCCCAAAAACGTTGATAGCATAGTTGGTATAATGGTCAGAGTGCCCCTCGCTCTCCCAATGCAGGCCTCCTGTCCCTCTTCGCCCTCTCTGATGTCATCCCCCACAGCTGCTCGTCCCAGCGTCGCAGCCAGCGCCAACATCGATGTCGCCAGCCCTCCTGCCATCCCCACGGATTCCCCTGGAGTGCCAACGAGGGGCAGCATCGCCGTCGTTCCGTCAGCCCAGCGGCCGCGGGGAGACGCCGAGGCCACTCTCACCCGGCTGCAAAGCCGCAGCATAGCCGCCTCCGCGCTTGTCCTAGCCGTCGTGTCCTGGAGAGCAACGAGCTCTCAAGATATCAGAAGAGACCAGTGGGAAGCTCCCCTCACCGGGCATGGGGCATAACTAGCTGGTCCGGCCCCCGAAACCCCCCAAAAGCCAGGAATAGTCCCCCCCGGCATCGCCGCTGCTCAGCTGAGAGCGGCCATCTTGGACATGCGCAGAAGAAGAAAACCATATGTAACCATAAGCCTCTCTCTCACAGACACAAACACATATACACATACATCAGTGGTACCGAGTGTGCAGCTTGCTTACGTACAGTGTTGGTGGAGGTGGTTCCTTTATTAGGGTATGTTTTCTACTTGATTGTTTGTCTGAGTGTTGGTTGCTGGAGTGGATATGTTGTCTTTTTTGTTTCCTTCTTAGCTTTTCTGTTGCCTTTTTAAAATGATGTGTAAATGTGGTGTATCTCTACGTTGATATTGATGGCTGATTTATCTAAATGCCAAGTTTCCAGCAATTCCCTGAATCTTTTTGGGTTTAGCTTGGTCTAGGATGCTCACATTTTCCCAACTGAAACTATGTTGAAGCCTGTCCATGTGCTGTGACATTAAGGAGTTCTCATCATGCCTTTCGAGTGCTTGTTGGTGTTCATGGATGTGCTCTGCTACGCTATTGCTGTCTGTCTCACATAATGGATGTTATAGTTCTTACACAGTATGTTGTACATGAATCCTGTTTTTGTTTCTTGGATTACTGGGTCTTTTTGTTTACTTAAGATATTTTGGAGGGCTTTGGTTGGTTTGTGTGCCATGGTAATGCCATGAGGTTGTAACAATTTATAGACTTTTTCTGATGTATGGTAGTGTTATCCTTTTCATTGCTTGTCTTGGTTGTGCTGTAGTGGCTTGAGTAATCACACACTTTTTGATAAAGTTGCGTAGGTATTCATTTTGTCAACAGATGTTATATGGGGTGATCTGTTTCTGTTTTCTGGTGTTCTGGGTTGCTGTAATGTGTTTGTACTCATCTGAATAATAATCATACACAGCTTCTCTTGTGGAAGTTGGGATATTATTTTGGTAACGGAGCACTTGGTTAGTGTGGTTTGCTTTTCAACAGATTTGCTTTTCTAATCAAGGAACTATGAAGGAGAAAACTACATCCCAACACTGGCAAGGTAAGCTATTATACATAAAGAAGAACCAAACTCAACATTCACTAGCAATGAGGGTGTTATCTAATTGGATAATAAAACATCTGCAAGGAAACAACCAAGCTCAGAGTGTACCAAGTACTCCACAGTCAATAATGTGTCCACCCAACTGCTGAAGATTTCTTGCATGTTTAGAGAGGGTCATGATTTTGGTCTGGGCAAAATTTAAAATTAATTCTTTCTTGTTGCGATATGGGTTGCAAGCTCTCTTAAGGCTTACTGGAGCCACAGATAAAATTGCAGCATCAAAAATATACTGATACATCTACTTGTTTAGGAGAATGAAAACATGTTTCCTTAGATGAGGCCCCAATAATTTATGTATTAAATGAAACTGCAGTCAATACATTTGACTAACTCATTTCCTTACAGATATTACTTTAGTGACATGTCCTTGATTTTTGATTTGATACTTTTGCATCCTCATAAATTTGATACTTTCGCATTTGATACTTTTGCATCCTCATAAATTTTAAATATCAAAAGCAGCAGACATTTTTCTACTGAAGTGTTTTTAAAGTTTTAGTACAGCTAGTACTCCACTTACAACCACAATTGGGCACATAATCTGAGTTGTTGAATGAAGCAGTCATTAAGCAAGATACCATATGATTGCTTTGCTTAAAGACCGCAATCCTAGATCTCCCAATAGCAGTTAGGTGACCATGCACTTCACCTTAAGTGGTGCATCTGGGAGAAGACCCAGGACCTTCATGGAAGAGCAGGAAAGGGGCCAAATCTCCCACCATGCTTGGGAGACCTGGGCCTTCTCCTTGCTCCACTGTAGAGAACGATCACAAGAATGCTGGCATTTGCTAGCATTTTCATCAGATTTGAGATATCCATTCCTCCAGCGCGCCATAGAAAGGACCTGAAATCTCGCAAAAATTCTAGGGAACGTCACTGTTCTGGAATGTTCAGAATGCTGGCCTTTGTTAAGTGTTTTCCCCTTCCCTCCAAAAGGGAAAACTCTACCAAATTCTTCTGGAGGGAAAAATGCTAGCAAGCACCAACATTTACTTTGCCAGCCTCCAAATACTAGCCTTCACTAGATTAACTCCAAAAAAAATAGTAGGGTTCTATGTATGGATTAGCACAATCAGACATTGCCAGGATTCTCTCATAGCTTTCATTTTTTGTCATGGTTTAACTGTTTATATGTTTTTGGATTTCTGTAAATCAGATGTTAAACAAAAAGCAGGTTTCCTTTATACAGTTAGAAGTATTGGTTAAATACTGACTCAGACACCTCCTAGCATCTTGGCACTCATGATCAAACTATGTATGGGGTATATTTGTATGTTTTCTGGAAATGAAGAATTGCAATGTTCTTAACATTTGCTGAAACAACTTAATTATAGCTATCCAGCATAGCATCATCCAATGCATCATCTGCTGGCTCTGATGCAATCAATTTGACAATCATAACTTCTTGCTGAGGAATCATTCAATGAAAGCAGGGACAGAAGTCCTCCATTACAGTTGCATTACAACAAGGTGATAATTCCAAGCTATCGAAAGTCCTCAAAAATAAAGTGCCCAGGAAGTGACTGCTTTTAAGACAATTGCTACAATAAACTTTGAAAAGTGGGGGGATTAAGTTCTGCAATAGCCCAGAAAAATTATTTACACAATAAAATCAAGAAGGCATATCCAAGGATTACTTGGACAGATTTTCTTTAATACTGCAAGTCATAATCTGTTTTCTAGTTTTATTTTTTTTAACCCTCAAAATATTAATATATCGGAAGTTTGAAAAGCAGGTTTAAGAACTAGTTCTTACACACAGAAATGTATAGATGACCTTGAGTTTGAGTCTTGGTGACTTCAATCATGTAATTTTCATTGCAATATTTGTTATAGAATTAGTTTACTACTGCCTTCTTCCAGATTTGTTTTACTCTCCCAATCTAGTCAACAGCTCTGAAATTAGTATGTGGTTCCCCATTAGAACTGGAATGGGAATGGGAATAGAATAGAATAGGAGAATAGAAATAGAATAGAATATAAAGAATAGAATATAGAAATAGAAATAGAATAGAATAGAAAAGAAATAATTTGGCCAAGTGAAATTTGTCTCTTGTGCAGAAGCTCTCGGTGTACATGCAAAGCAACAGAGTAATCATCATCATAATAATAATCATAATCAACAAGAGTAAAGAAGATAAGTAAAGAAGATGGATCTGACCCTGCTTAGATTCGGAGAACAGTTAAAATCAACTAGATGCTGCCATATGCTAAACTGATTAAATAGCTAAATTTGCCCATAAGAAATCTATCTATCCAGCAGAAACATTGATTATGTAACATTAAAATTTAGATCCCCAAAACAAACAAATTAGAGTTGAAAGTGTCATACACAATCTCCTAATATAAAGAACATAAACTGACATGTGTTATTTTGTTATGAAATACAAACAAAAATATACCTAATAATACAATAGTAAGAATTTAAAGTTTAATAGAATATAATAAATCATCTTGTTACAGTCATAACAAAAGAATCTTGCTTGAACAAATAGTAGTGTACTTAAAACATTCCCAATAGGAGAAATCCAAAATAAAGTTTAAATTCACATCTCAAAAATAAACAAACCTTTGTTGCGAGTTGTGAAACAGAAGATGTTACTTCATCCTGAAGACATGAATCCTTGTTCTTAGTCTAAAAAAGAATAAATAACTATAAATTTCAAAAGAGTTTAACAAACGTTTGTGATGAATAAGAAATAACAAGAATGGATAATATTGAATAAAGATACTACTGGCATATAAATAATGTACTTGGTCCATATTTTGTTTTCTCTCCTATTGTTTCGTTAAAAACAAGATTCCATGGCAAAACATTCATAAGCACATGCCACTTGAACAAAGAAGGGAAGCACCCAAATAAACTTAGTAATGTAGACCAAATTCTTCACTGAATTTTGATTACAATATATCTACTACTATGCTAGCTGAACACATACTTGAAAGAATAAATACAGAATATACACAGACCAGAGATTACATTCCAGAAAGAAAGATGAAAGATAACAAGAGTTATCATAAATGCCACAGAATTCATCAATATTATGAAAAAAGAAGGCAGCAGTAATATTTCTAGACTTGGAAAAAGCCTTTGACAATTTGGAACAGGCTGTTTTTACTACAGGTCTTAAAAAGAATTAATCCTGGAGAAGAATTTGAAACATGTGGAGAATATGTAGTCAAGGCAAGCAGCAAAGATGAAATACTCTCCACAGGCTTTTCAATTAGCATAGGCACAAGGCAAGGATGTCCATTATCCCCTTTACTTTTTGTGACTGCTCTGGAAGTCGTGACCACAAGATATGAAAAGATAATAGATAATTGGAATGAACAAGAAATACAGGATAATATGAAATGCTATGGACTTGATGTAGTACTAAAACCTGATTATAAGCACAAAATTCCATAGTTGATGAAAGTAACAAAAGATATGGTTGCTTTTCTGAATATAAAATCAATTAAAGGGAAAAAAAGATAATAACAAGGTCCTTAATTTACAAAGAAGAAAATGTGAAAAAAAAAAGAGTGGCTGTGAGATAATAAAAGATCCAGTGAAATATTTAGGACTTTACTTGACAGGATGCAATAAAGACCTATTTGAAAACAATTACACCAATGATTTTTTACTTTAAGGATAATTACAGTAAGAAAGATCTGAACATATATGCCAACACAACATATCTGTACTCAAGAAATAGATTGAAGACACTACTAGAATTGTTTAATGAAGAATAATGACAAGAATCAATCTGGCACAACATTGGAAAAGACAAACAGAATTGTCTAAACTGAACAAGGAGGCAATGGAAAAAAAATTCCACAGCAAAAGTTTAAACAAATTCAAGCAGAAATGGCTCCCTCATATACTGTATAACTTATCACACAGAAAGGTAAGCTAAATTGCTTGGAATATAATTTCTGAAGAAAAAAGGGAAGTTTTTTTTTAAAAAAATATCCAAATGATCCAAATAGAAATAAATAATAATCATAGATGTCCAAAATATAGTATAAAAATATTCAAGTAGCAATTTGCAACTAGGGAAGAAAGGGGGAGGAGGAAGAAAAGAGAGCTACCAGAATGCTTTTTAAAATCTTTGTTTCACCATTTTTTTAAAACAAAATTATAACCATTATTTCTGTATGTATACACATTCTTTTCCTTTCTCTTTGTTTGGAGATTTAGAATGTTACTGACAACAAAGCAAAATCATCTGTTTCCATATAATCTTTCCCAAGAATCAGCCCTTGCTATGTCCAAAGCTCTTCCTGTCAGAGCTTGCTTTTTCATGTCCAGCTAGAATTCCTTCTACTACCCTGCTTCTCACGATGGGCAGAAGCCTACCCATTTCTACTTTCACCAACTTTAGGATCATGGCACAACAGCTCATTCCCAGCTGCTACCAGCTATGTCTCTTCCACAACAATCACAATAATGGCAGCAATTTTCTATTGTTGTGGTAGGTGGGAATATTACCCAAACCCCTCACTGTCCTTGGTCATTTTAGTATTTTAAGCTGACAAATGACAAATTTTGTATGCCCATTATAGTAATTTGTACCATCCCACTCATAGATGTGTCATTCAAAACATAAAGTGAGCTACCCAGAGTTTGGTACAAAATGGACTGTGTATAAAGGTTTCAAGTAACTAATAATAAAAATAAAGTAATAAATAAAAAATAAATAAAAATAATTGCTCAATTATCTCAAAAATTTGATGTCCTTATTTTTTGGAATTTTAGGTTTCATTGCTATCAACTACATGCTATTTTCAAATTTATCAAGTAGCACTGGAGATTTTATGACTTATCTCTACCCAGACAGCAACACTTCCCACTTTTTGTAAAACTAGCTTACAATATTGATCCACTTATCTGTAGATCAGAGAAAAAAAGGTGCTATTGATACTACTACAATTAAGATCTTTCAAACAAGATAAACTAGTCAAAGAGTTTCAACCCATCTTTTTCAAATGTTCATAATTATCAAGTCAAAAGATATAACTCAAGGAATTTCAAAACAACACGTGCACATTTATTCTTTTGTTATAGTTTGAGTGTAAGTGGCTTCCTGAATAAGATTAACAGTAAATAAACTTCTCAGGGTCACTTAGGTGAGATGGGTGGTGTAGAAATGATAGTATGATAGATAGCCAGATATACAGATGTTTTATGAATGGCAGCGGGAAGTGGATGGTATTCGTGGGCTTTGTGAAAATTGAACGAGTGAAAAAAAGATACTGTATAAAGAAGGCACTATAGTATACAGGCAGTGCTCGACTTACAATTCATTTAGTGATCATTCAAAGTTACAACGGCACTGAAAAAAGTGACTTATGGCTGTTTTTCACACTTACAACTGTTGTAGATCATGTGATCAAACTTCAGATGCTTGGCAGTTGGCTCATATTTATGATGGTTGCAGTTTCCCAGGGTCAAGCAATCACCTTTTGCAGCCTTCTGACAACCAAACTCAATGGGGAAGCCAGATTGACTTAATCTTATTACCAACTTAACAACCACAGTGATTCACTTAGCAATTGTGGCATGAAATATCATAAAATGGGGCAAAATTCACTTAGCAACTGTCTCACTTAGCAACAGAAAGTATAAAAGTATTCCTTCAAGTTGGTTGCCTGAGGTTTACAAAATTGTCTTTCACACTCCAAGGAGAGGGTCAGATGACCTACACGTCTGTAATGGTGTGGGTGACAGGTTTACACCTCTATTCCAAGTCACATCTTTATCTTCATTTAAAGCGACAACAAAGTTATTCTATCTGAGACTTGGGATACCAGAAGAATGAGGGAGGGATGGAGTATAAGTGGCAACTGGCAGAGGCCCAGATGGGCATCCGTCCCTATGTTACCGAGACTAGATTTGGACATTTCTGATACTGAAAATTATAGTGAGATCTGTACACCTTTTAGAGGATATGAATATGCAAGTATATTTTTTTTGATTTTGAATAAAAGCGTTAAGAGTTAGATCATATGGCTCATCTCTTTTTGGCAGACAAGTATTTGTGAAGAATCTGGTTAACCATGAGTCTCGTCTATGAAATATGCTATGTGGTTTCTTGTTTTCTGTTTTCTGTTTTCACAGGCTTGGTAACCAGACTACTTTATTAGCACCATGGTCCAAGGAAGAAAATAAGACTCATAACAAACAACATAAAGATAAAAAAAAAGAAATCTGTGAGGAATAGCAGAACTGGAAAAATAAAATGAAAGATTAAAAACAGCAGCTAAAACTTAAATAACCTTTTTCCTAGGCAGGGAACAAACGAAACAGTTAAGTTCATTAGAACTAATTGCAAATATCAGACATATAATCCATTTCCTTCCTAGAGAGGAAGGTGCTTTTCCAGACCAAAGAGGCAACAGCGCAAATGTGAATGCAGGAAGCTTTCCATTTTCAATAACTATGCTGATGCTGGAATCTTAGATAACTGAGGAAGAAAATTCACTTGCATAAACAAAAGTGCTATTTCTAGGATCAACATTTAAGTGTAATATTTGTTCAAAATTATTTATTGCATATTATCAAATTGTATAATTGAAAAAAATGAGTCACAGCCTAGAAATATTGATATGATAAAATTAACCAATCCATAACCTACCAGTCAAGAATGTCCCAGAGAGCTTGGATTGACAGGCAGCGTGGCTATACAAAACAGGAGGACTGAAGTTAGATTGCAACTGGGACAGACAGAAAGAGATCTATTAAGAATAGAAGTGCCAATTCCCACTTCTAGTCTAAATTCTGGTTCCTGCAGTTCTGGATGCTAGATTACTGAAACTTTCCACTTTAAGATGTTAATGCTTAATATAAGGTCCAAGTTCTATCAGATTCTACTTCTCAGTACCATAATCAAGGAAAAATGGTGGAAAACCTGTCCTATATGACTGAGGACTAGTTGAGTGATATTGTGGGTAATCTGCGTTACTGAGTTTCAAATATTTCAGCAAACTTTTCTCTTCTTGGGAAAGAGATGGAGGGCAATGATATTGGGTTTATGATTGATACCAGATGCTCTGCTCTACAGGTTACTGGATACAGGTTAAAGGTTGGTCTTAAATTGCTGCAAATGTACCTTATTATTTATAGAAGTAAATAAAAATGTGTGCACACACATATGTGGTTAACTAATAGTTAACTAAGAATAATTTGAATTGTTTCCCTAAAAAATAAATACTTTATTATATTAACAAATTTTATATTAATTAGTATCAAATCAGATATAAAATTTAAGCACCATATTTTGCAAAGTGCCTTTTTATGCTGGCAGCATCTTTCCCCAGAGTAGATCTCATTAGTTCTCATAAATTAAGTTACTCAAGTTAAGCCTGCTTGACAAGCTATGCCTGCTTCCTAGAAAGAGAGTTCTAATAAAAATACAGCTCTGAAGGAAATGGCATCCAATAAGTTTTGTTTTCTATCAATTTTTGAGGTAAGCCACACATAAATATGAAGGGGCAAATGTATTATGACAAAAGAAGAATCTGGCCATTCTTCTTCCCATTCAAGTCAAGTTCCAGTTCACACTCATAGTTCTCACTGTGAACAATAATTATTATGTAGCCAAAATACCAAGTGAAATTAAACAGCAACAACAGCAAAAAACAACCATAATG